ATTTACTGGAAGCCTCATACATATTCATTTCCTTCCTTTTACTTTAACTGCCACAGTCAATTCATCACCCAAAATGTGCACACGCACACGCACACGCACACACACACACACACACACACACACACACACACACACACACACGACAGACCACAACCATTCATTGCTTATTTTGTTCCAAAAAACATGTTTGTTTCTATTTATATCTCAACCTATTCGAAAAAAACGTAAACGACTTGTGGTGAGACTACTTACTTTAGGGAGGCGGCTGGACTGATGAATGGCGAGGACGCCAAACAAGTTCCCAAACATAGCATTTCTAAAAAGTTTCTGAAAGAAAAAGTCAACATTTAGAAAAAGGACGTTATGAAACGTTTGGAGCCAACAGAGAAAGAAAATATTAAAAACACTCACTTTTTTCACGGTCTGCAAATTGTGCTTTTCTTTGATTCTGTCGAGAACAGTCTGTAGAGGAACATCTTCAAAGGCACTCAGGACCTGAGGGAACAGAAACTCATGTTATAATAAAGCCAACCACGTTCCTTATACCCGCTGCTACTGGAGCTCAGTTTCCAAAGATTCACAATTCATTAACACCATGACCAGCACACATATTCAGAAACTCAACTGGAAAACTAGTTTGACTTCATTCAAACTAAATGACTTAACTGTCTACTCCAGTGTGCGTGGTTAATCAATTGACACATCTTAAAACGTGTTCTGAGTTGGTAAATATATTGTGTCACATGTAGTGCTGGGCTTTAAATCGTCTCATGCCGAACACCTTGAGCTTTATTCCGTATAATATACATTTTTCATATACCGTAATAACTTTTAAAATATGGCGTAGGCCGCTCGAGCTGTGCGGCAGAGAAAGGAGTCCCTTATTCATTCATAAGAAAAGTATTTGAATGTGCACTATGCAACTTTTGTTGTTATGTGGTACGCAAAGCTTGCACAATAAAATAGTTTACCTTTTGCAGTTGTTTCATGCATTCTGATTCCTTCACCACATAAGACTCATGAGGGCCATGATATGAGTTTTTAGTCATAGTCACATTTCTGGTATTCACAAGTACAAGAGAGCCTGAAATACAATTCTATTTACAAACTTCTGTGTGTTTTAGAAATGTTTCTGAGGTTGTCTCACCTGTCCCAGAGCCAGGCTGAAGCCGGGCCTCGCTGCCTCTCGAGTGTGAGCCAGTCCGTCCACCAGCCTTTTAAATGTGTAGTCCAATTCATCTGCCTGAAACACAAACACACAGATGATGCAAGCAGTACCTAGTTAGAGTATCAACCAACATATTGTACAATTAACAAGATCACTAGTTGTGGTCCTGCCTGATGTTCACTTTACTACTTCTTTGATGGCACCCACAGGATTGTTGACATCCACCTGGATTCATCTTATTATTATTTATAGACACATGCATTCTCAAGCATTATGTTGTTATGTTGTTAATGTATTATCTTTTTTTAATTTACACACGACACTTATTGCACGTCTGTCCGTCCTGGGAGAGGGACCCTCCTCTGTTGCTTTCACCGAAATGTCCTCAATGTTTCCTCATTAACTGTGGAGGGTTTCTTTGGAAGTGTTTCTTTATCCAATGTGAGGGTGTCGTATTTGTATTCTATACAAACTGTAAAGTCCACTGAGACAATGGTAAAATGTGTGATATTGGGCTATATCACACATTTCACCTTGATTGATTACGTTTTAAATTACATATACATAATTTTATTGTTGGTACTTTAAGTTTATTTTTGATATATTCCTGACGCTTTCACTGCAGTTTGATTTGAATGCAGTACTTGGATTTGTCACCCTATACAGCACATGCAGTCTTTACTCATAACAGAATATGCTTGACATTATAGTTACATCACTACTACTTTTATAGTAGTACATTAATGATGTATTCCTTCCACCACTACTGACGTTAAAAGTGTTAAATGCCATAAACCACTAACTAGTTCCGTTACTTCGCAGTGTCTCCACGCTGTGTGTGTGTGTGTGTGTCAGATCTCCCCTCACCTGGTCGCTTTTCTTCAGGTACTGGATCAGGTCTTCCACGGCCTTCAGCCGGACCTCCTGCTCGGGCTTGGCGATGTCCCAGAAGAAGTCGAGGAAGACCCGGTTCTGCTGCAGGACTCCGGCCGGGCGCACCGGCTCCGCTGTTTTCACGGAGAGCTCCACCATCTCTACAGACATTTCCCTCTGTGGTCTATCAGTACATGCTGCTGCTGAGAGGAAACACGTGTGGAACTCGGCGGATTCTACTTCCGGGTCGAACGTTGTCTTTTTTTTACTTTTGAAAAACTTTATTGGAAAAAAGAACAGAAGTGTCACAAAATGGCAAAAGTGTAAAATATGTTGAAAATAAATAAAGTATTAATGATACAATAACGATTAAAAATATCAATTAAGACTGTTACACTTTTAGAAACTGAAATAAGTTATACAAATGTCAAACGTATTTTAAATAAATCTCTAATCTATGGATTTTAATATTGTATTACATATTTTTACTCATCATTATTATTTATATGATTTTATTTAAAAATTCATTATGCCAAGTCTTTTGAAGACGTGTCTGAAATGTTTGTACATTTAAATACTTTCCCAATAAAAAAAATCTAAATAAAAGTAATCTCATCTCTTTCCAAATGTGTAAGTTTCCCGCTGGACCATAGAGGGCTCCCACACTATTTGTGATGTAACATGCACAAACATCATTCTGCAAAAACAAAATCATACCTCTGAGTGAAAGAACAACAAGCAAAACATATTTTTAAAGGAGGAAGACTTTAAATTGTTGCAGCAGAGAGAGAGAGAGCAACACTTAAAGATATTAGATTGAAACTGGACAAAAAGATCAGAGCATTTCCCTTTTCCATAAAAAGATGTTCTTTATTAAAACTACATGCACATTCTTTAATTCCCGGGCCAAAGCATTTATTGGCGGAGGGAGATTTGAAGTTGCAAAAAAAAAAATTAGCATCAAGAGTCAGACTTTACGACTTCATCACAGTGTTTCCTCATGTTCACTCGTTGGGAGCAGCGAGCACAGTGTCCAGCGCTCTCTGAGCCTCCGAGATCTGCTGCTGCAGTCTCTGCTTCATGGCCTCGTTCTGGGCCTTCTTCAGCATGTCCTGCATGTCTCTGATGGCCGCCCGGTAGCCGGGGGCGTTGTGAAACACTCTGATGGCTTTGTCGCCGCTGCACGCCAAGAATCGTCCGGTTACATCGAACCTGAGGTCGTTGATCTCCTCGCTGTGGACGCCGTGCAGCTCCTCCTCCAGCTGGCCGGTGGTGGCGTTGAACATGGCAACGTTGCAGCCGTCACTGATGGCGACCACCCGGCCGTCCGGAGACAGCGCCGCCAGAGTGCCTTCAGAGGACGAACAGGGGACCGTCTTCAGGAGGTAGGGGTCCTGCTGCTTCTTGTATTCAACATTTGTATTCCACAGCTTCCACGTGCCGTCTTTTGAGACTGTCACCATTCTAAAAAGGTGGAAAGAAACATGTTGCATATTTAAACTGAGAAGATGCTGAGGGTAGAAAAAAACAATGTGTGAAATCATGAATGAAAAATGTTTAATGTTGCTAGGAGGTGTATTGTTGTTGTTTAGACAGAGCCAGGCTATGTTTCTAAACGTAATGCTACGCTCAGCCAATATGGAGAAAGAAAAAAAAATACAATATTTGTGACTAAATATCCTGACATCGTTTTCTCCATTTGTGCTTTTATAAAATATCTCAGTAATGTGTAGAAATGACTAAGTACAGAACAATGTGGTTGTTTCAGAAAACTTGATTTGACTGCCTTTAAAACCAGGGAAAGTCACAACTTTTGACATATTGCTAAATGATATAAAATCTAACATGATATGTGGTCTCATGACATCATCTCGACTTTCCTGTCATGTTTAGCATTCATACGAGAGTGGTATCAATCTTTTCATCCAACAAGAAATGGGTTCAGAAAACAATTATCAGCAAAGCCTCCTTACTTGTGAGAGTCATTGGAAAAGGCGAAAGCATGAACTCCTGCAGAGTGGCCCTTCAGGTCGAAAGCTCGTACCACTTCTTTAAACTCTCCTCCCTTCCCGAAGCAAACCTCCCACACCTTGACGTCAGTAGTGAAACCACACGAGGCTACGAACCTGGGAGACAACAAGAACACACATATTACATTATATTAATAGGTGATGACTTTCATTGTGGAAGTAGCAGTGGCGGACTGGCCATCGGGACGTTCAGGACGAATCCCGATGGGCCGGTACTGAAGTGGGCCGGTCGGATAAGTCACTAGCACCCCCCCCACCAGCATTTACTACTTGCGGTACTGAAGTGTGCCGGTCGAGAGCCCCGGGCTGATTTTTAGTCGCCCCTGGGAAGTAGGTATGTGTAAGTACCTTTTCTGGTTGAAAGTATTTTAAACTGCTGCACACAAAAATAAAATCAAACAATTCTTGACTTTGTTAAGATCCCTTTTCGTTTTTTTGAAATTCTTTTACTGCAGATTTGAGGTTAAAAAAAGACACGTTTAATCAAATTTGAATTTATGTTTGAAGACAACATAAAAACCTGGGAGTTAATATATTTTCTGCGCACTGTGTATCTGAGGGATCCCTATTCTATGTTCCAAGTCAGAGATGGGCAACTTTGATGGTGGTGGGGGCCACATCATTGATGTACTGGCCACCAGGGGGCCACAGATTCACTTGGAACACACACACACAAAAATTCCATGTGTTGTATGTAATTATTAACAAATATACTAAGTCTGACATCTTCATTGACATTTTACAATCAAAGGGAACATCCCCAAAAAATGGGAACATCCTCTAATAAGCTCACTAAACAAATATCAGTTCACAGAAATGTTATTTCATTTTTACAAGTGGCATGTTTGTATTGAACAGGTTGTTAAACAGTGGAATAAAACTATTTTCAAACTATTGGAAAGCACGGAACATGTGAGCGTATTGAGATTTAACTTGTAAAGGCATAATTACAAGAGGCAACTTAACGTCACAGCAGGCATAACAACAGCCGGTGTTTCTTGTGAGGGTTTCCCCGGGAAACAAACACAATACACACAAATGCGTCACAGATTATTTCGCGGTATTTGAAATCATGTACGCAGCTCGCAACGTAACTAGGAGTCTAGTGGACGGTATCAGTACTACAAGTAATAATTACGTTGTTTATAAATTAATCTGAGGGCTGCAAAAAGAGGAGGTGGGGGCCGCATGCGACCCGCGGCCCGCCATTTGCCCATCCCTGATATACATAAAGAAATTGCATATTTTGGACATAGTTCGAATGGTGATTAATCATGATTAATTAATTTTAAACTTTGATTAATCTGATAAAAAAAAGTAATCGTTTAACAGCCCTAGTTTAAAGATTTATATTGCGGATATTATCAGCACATCTGAGTCAAATTAACATATGTATTAAAGGATGTTAGTTTACAGATAACAGATTAGGCTAGGATACCAGATAAAGTTAGCAACACACGTTAACCAGGAACAGCCTATTAATCTGTTCTCCTAATGTTATTTAGACCCTCCAGAAAAACGCGAGAATTTACCGCATAATCAGCAA